CCAACCCAACCCAACCCAACCGTGGCCGCGCCCCGCCGCGCACCCTTGGCGCGGTGATCCTCCTCCTTGGGGCAGTGCCCCCCTTCCCACCACTTCCTCTTGAGGATCTCCAGCCGGTTGTTCTCCTGCAGCTGCAGGATGGCCAGCGTGATCTCGTCGCGGAACGGCGACCCTGCCGGGGGGAGGGACGAGCGACACGACACCGGGGGGGGTCCCACCGGCTTTTCAGGGCGCGGGGCAGCCCCACCCCGCCCCCGCCCGGCGCGGCGCCCCGCCGTACCCAGCGGCATGCCGATGCCGTAGCCCTTGGTGTCCAGCAGCCCGCCGATCTGCGTCAGGTTGCAGTTGTGGCGCCGGTGGTACTCGTTCATGGTGGACTCCAGCAGGAAGGCGTACTTGGAGTTGAGGACGCGCGCGATGCCCTCCTCGGTGCTCTTGACGAAGACGCTGGGCTGCTTGGAGTGCATGTAGTTCCACATCCGCTGGTAGGTCTGGTAGCGCGAGTTCTGCCGGGGGCGGCGGGGGGAGACGGGCTTGGGGGGCTGCGGGGGCTGGGGGGCTGGGGGCGGGTTGGGTGAGTTGGGTTGGGTTGGGTTGGGTTGGGTTGGGATGGGTTGAGTTGGGTTGGGTTGCGTTGGCTGGGTTGGATGGGCTGGATGGGTTGGATGGGTTGGTTTGGGTTGGGTTGGGCCAGATGGGTTGGGTTGGGTTGGCTTGGGTTGGGTTGGGTTGGATGGGTTGGGTTGGATGGGTTGGGTTGTGTTGGGCTGGATGGGTTGGGTTGGATGGGTTGGGTTGAGTTGGTTGGGTTGGATGGGTTGGATGGGTTGGGTTGGGTTGGGTTGGATGGGTTGGGTTGGGTTGGATGGGTTGGATGGGTTGGGTGGGTTGGGTTGGGTTGGGTTGGGTTGGATGGGTTGGATGGGCTGGATGGGTTGGATGGGTTGGCTTGGGTTGGGTTGGGTTGGATGGGTTGGGTTGGATGGGTTGGGTTGGGCTGGATGAGTTGGGTTGGGTTGGGTTGGGATGGGTTGGGTTGGGTGAGTTGGGTTGGGTTGGGTTGGATAGGTTGGGTTGAGTTGGGTTGAGTTGGCTTGGGTTGGATGGGTTGGGTTGGGTTG